CATCAGTCTACTTTAGAACAGTGAGGGAAGGCACAGTAAAGACAAGTGTGATAATCAACTGTGAACAAAAGAGTGAGAAAGCCCTGGTTATGGGAAGAGTACCAGAAGATGTGTATCTGTGTTTCATTGACTATGCAAAGGCATTTGACTATGCAGATCACAACAAACAGTGGCTGACCTCTGAAGGATGAGAAGGATGAGAATCCCAGAACACTTGATTGTGCTCATATGAAACCTATACTTGCATCAGGAGACAGTCATTAGAACAGAGCAAGGAAGCACTGCGTACTCAGGAAGGAGTGTGTTAGGGATGCATCCTGTCTCCACACCTTTTCAATCTGTATGAGAACAGACCATTTGGGAGGCTGGACTTTATGAGGAGGAATGTGGCATCAGGATTGGAAGAAAAGTCATCAACAACCTGCATTATATAGATGACACTACCTTGTTTGCTGAAATTGAGGAGGACCTGATGTGTTTGCTGTGGAAGGTCAAAGACTTAAGTCTTCAATATGGGTTGAAGCTCAACATCAAGAGGACAAAGATTCTCACCACTGGGCCAGTTGGCAGCACCATGATAGATGGAGAAGAGATTGAGGATGTCAACAATTTCAGCTTGCTCGGCTCCACAGTCAACACCAGCGGTCAGGAAACCAAAAACGAATTGCATTGGGGATGTCTGCCATCAGGATCTCTGCAAAGTGCTAAAGAGCCAGATGTCAGTGTAAAGACTAAGGTGTGCCTGATCCAGGCTATGGTTTTTGCAATTACTTGCTCTACATCTGAGAGCTGGACAATGACTAAGGATGACAGAAGAAGAAATGATGCCATTGAATTGTGGTGCTGGAGAAGAGTATTAAACAAAACATGGACCACCAGGAGAACAAATTAAGTCTGTCCTCTGGAGGGTGAAACCAACTTTCTCTTAGGAGACATGGATTTTGTAGCTCCATCTCACATCCTTTGGGTAAGTGGCCAGGACGGACCAGTGCTTGGGGAAGGACATCATGCGTGGAAGGGTAGAGGAACAGCGCAGGAGAGGAAGACCCCGAATGAGATGGATTGATACAGAAACTGGGGCAGTGGGGTTAGATGTGTGGGAGTCAGTGAGACTGGCTCAGGATAAGGGAGCATTTAGAGCTCTGTACAAAGAGTTGCTGTATTTTGCAGGTGACTCAATGGCACGTAACAACAACAACATAAGCAATAAGAGCTAGGACAGATACTTCCTGACAGAAGGAACAGAGTACAGAGTCTGTCATTTCAACCTGCAGCTAGAATTGACTGGAGCCTTCATGAGATGTTGTGAACATGATGAACTATGACGATCAGAAGAAGCAATGGGCAGAGTCAAAGCTTATTCCACTCTCAGAGCAACAGGAATCCCTTACAAAGAGGTGATTTATTGGTGTCCTTGCTCTCTCTGAGTCTGAGATTGTTTCACATTTTCTTATCTCAAACATGATCCTGGAGAACAATTCATAAATGAGCAGTGACACAATGATGACATTGGGCTTGATGCTGGGTGGGGATTTTCACAAAATAAGCGACCACCTTTGCCCTAAATCAATTCTCAACGGAGACAGAGCCAAGTCTCCTAACATTCCACTATCACCTCAAGGTAAACACTAGTGGCTTAGGCGAGAAACTGTCGTTACAGGTAATCATAAAGTCCTGGAAAAAATTGAAGGCAGGTGGGATCAGCGTGCGAACATTTCCAAAAGAGGTAAATTTTTAACAGTATGTGCGAGGAAGAAAGAACTACAGACAATTACAGAGGAAGGGTCAGGGCACTTCAAGTAAACAGAAAAGATCAGAAAGGAAGGAGTAGCTTAATCATCAACAGATGAGCTTGCCAAGCACCTCAAAGGCCCCAGGCTGGGAGGCAGTGGGGGCAGAGGCAGCTGCAAAGGCAAGGCCAGGTGTTCACAGGGAATAGCCAGAAAAGCTCAGGAGGAGATGTAACCCAGAACTCTGTCCCTGCGCCTTATTAAACCCCCTGAACCACAGAGTCTGGTAGACTGTCTGCTCTGGTTTGAGGGGAGTAACTGAAGCAGCAAATCCCCCACCTTTACTCTCTTTTAGAAAGATCCTCAATGAGATGTGGGCTTGATCACGAGAGAGCTGAAGGACAGAATAAGGTTCAGATCCGTTGGTCAAAGGGTCACTGTAAGTTGTTGTGGTCAATGCAATGTTCCCTAACAACAGGCTCTTATCTATGGGAGAAAAATGGGCAGTTACCCCATTATGATTTATAGACTAAATTACCTGATGGAAAGTTGCTATGAGTTGGAATCGTTTTGACTTAACCCACAAAAGGGTCAAAACCATTAATAGAAGAAAATGCTAAACATATTCATGTTTACCCATCTGCTCTTTTACTAAAATTTGGGACCATGCTCATATTTGAATGAAGCGGCTTTCTTTCCTCGGAGAGCTTGTGCTGGGCTATTTGTGTTTAGCTCATCAAGTCTGAGATGATCTTCCAGTGCTGCATGCAGGATAATGGACATATAACTGAGCCTCTTTCAAAAGTTCTCCCAGCCAGGCCTCCGAGGAGATTCAACATGTCCATTGTGTGTCTAGGCTGGTGGATGGTAAGAAGCTGTGTGGCAATCTCAAAGCAGGTGGTTCAAATCCACCAGCTGCTCTGAGGGAGAAGGACTGGTAATCCTCTCTAGAGAAATTTCCTGCCTCTGAAAACCCACAGAAGGGTCAGCTATGAGTTGGTTCCAACTTGGTGGCCCAGAACAACAACATTATTACAGTACTTGTCTGTCAGTCTGCTGTACTGGTGCAGTGTGTGGGATGCTAGAAATGCTGGAATGTGTGGCATCAGGGTCTCAAGTACCGGAAGGATCTCACCCATGGGGAACAGGTTACAACAGAGCACCTAGATCAAGATGGACTAAGAAGGTGGATCGGCCACCAACTTCCGAAACAGTGGTCCTTTGAAAACTCTTTAAACAACTTGCCACACACTTTTAAATTGACGACCATGCTTAGAAACACATTTTGCCGTCGTTTACGGCAACGTGTTAACAGAAGAATGCCGGCTGTTATTGTATTAGAGGTAGAGCCCAGGTAAGAATTCATTAAAAAAATGAGGAGAATGGATTGGCAAAGTAACTACAGCAATCAGAGAGGCTGAGGATGGTAAAGGATGGGTGCTGTTTACTGGGCTGGTCGTACTCAACTCAGCAGCACCTAACAAACACAGCATTGTGTGTCTGTAATGAATTCCTACTTTCCTCCAGCTCAACTAACAGATCACTAGCGAGAGCGTGTTGCTTTAATTTATCTCTCAGTACTCACACAATCACTTTTTACCACGCTACAATCCCCTGTTCCCTTTGGGGCTCTACCGGTTGTGTGGGTGCACAGGTCAGCTCCCCCCTCTTCCATCACCTCATCTGGAAAAGCCCGTCACTCCTTTAATCTCCTCCTCCACACTGGGTTTTAAGTTTTTCTTGTTTAAAAACTTTTCATTGCTATGTGTTCTCTCATGCTGTATTTCTCAACTCTCATCATGTTTAGAATCTACTGCAATTTCTTCTGACTTCTAAGGAGTCGATTCTTCAATTCTTACATTTTTCTAAGGCTAATTTTTAAAGCTTGACGGAACTGTTTAAACATATAACAATTATTAAGAAAAGGTAGCAAGCAAGAATACATGTTGGAATTCTTCAAATGGTAAAAACTTTTTAAAGTGTAATAAAATTCACTTTCTGTATTATAATCTGCAAAGCCCAAATATTCTTTATGTAGACTCTAAATCATTAAAGCTACAACTGAAGTAGGATTCAGGGAGCTCAAATCTATTGTTTCTTTCTAAAACCCCAAAACTAAGCTCACTGCTGTTAGTATCCATTACAATGCACTCACTGATCTGAGGTTATAAATTTTTATGGGGAAAAAATGCTCCACACTGGAGCAGCTGGTGGATTTGAACTGTCAACCTTTCTGACAAGTGCCAATAAAGAACGCACTATGCCACTAGGGCTCTATTACAAGCAGTTATATTCCTACTTAGTTTTAGTTTACTTTAGGTGGGGGGAAGAGCCCCCAATGCATTGAACATTAGGCTGCAAAACTAAAAACCAGAAGTTCAAGTCCAGCATGGACTCTGTGGCAGAAAAATGTTTAGGGTCTTTTTGTAAAGAGTTTTAGTCTCAAAAACTTGATGGAGGGTTGCTACGAGTTGGGACGGACTGCAGGAGAGTGGGTTTAGGGAGAAAGCCCACCATATGAGAAAATGACCATCACAGTATAAGACAGAAAAACATTCTGAACATGTTTTCTCTTAGAAAAGTTCATATTAACATTAATTGTCTCTAGAGGAGGCCACGAAGCTGTGCTACCATCCCAAAGGCATATGTCTCCATTCCACCAGCTGTTCCACAGGAGAAGGATGGGCTGTCTCCTCCGGTGTGATTAACCACCTCTGAAAACCCGCCGGAGGGTCAGCTATGGGTTCTGACTGGAAGGTACACAATGCCAACAACAATAGAGATGTTTAGTGAAATAGAAAGCCCTTTACCTAAATACCCTAGGTGTCAGTCCCTGTTAAATCGATAATATGATTTTTTTAAGTGTTCCTTCATGATTATATCAAAGCAAACCTTTTTCATGCCTACAATTCCAAATGGACACAAAACACTAAAAAGACAATGACCAACTATCAAGGTTTGTAGATTTAGTCCCTCTAGTTGGGTGTCAGCATGATTTTTGGAAAGGCTTTTAATATTACTCCTGTGCCTTGAATACTTACGTATGTTGATATGTTTTACTATTCTATGGTGATGAAGCAAAAATTAAATCATCCGCAGAAACATGGCCAATCATCCGCAGAAACATGGCCAACTCCTTCAGTGAGATACAGCAAAAATCAGATTAACTCTACAAATACATCACCCTCTTCATCTGCCTTAGTCCTTTTCTCTGTTTTGTTTTGAAGCAATCCTAAGAACAGAACAATGAATGTCCGCAGGGTAACTTACAGCACAGGGCTTTCTGCAGTCTTCGGATCTTGATGGCCGTGCGATATGCAGAGAAACGTACATTATTCAGGTCAGCTGAAATGGAAACGGGAGCAGATCAAAAGCAAGCCTGTTATTTATCTCACATTGAGTGCCCAGAACGTATCTGCATACTTCAGATGATAGAAAAATATTATGTATGCCCGCATTAAAACTTCTCCTAAACTCCAGCGCATTTACTTGAGAAAATGATTAAATGATCATTAGCACTATGCTACAGCATATTTCAAAGCACTACTACATATATTTCCAGGAAATATTTTCCAAATAGAAAAAGAAATATGATGGGGATGGGGAGGAAGCATAAACATGAGCTTTTTTTTTGGCTGCTAAGTGAATACATCAAATGGGGCAGAGAATCCTTCCTCCTCATAAAAGATTATGTTCACGGGGACAATGAGTATTCTCACTCATGCTACTAGTTTCACAACATATGAAGTTAAGTCGTTATCTTTGTTCCCTTTACCTTGATCTATTTGTTCATCCTGCCCTTTATACAGTTAAATAAAATGACCCAATAAACTATAATCACATCTTTGGAAAGAACAGATACTGCAATTTCTTTCTCTGCCCCCTAATAACAGAATAACAAAAGATCAGAAACGAGAGCTAGGAGAAAATGTGAAATCATCAAACGCTGCTCTCTCATATAACACACTAAGCTAAGCAGGTGGGCCTCTCCCTAACTCGAAGCCTTCCTCTCCTTCTCCGTCTCTGTCACCTCTCAGTTCAGCACTACCTTCCAGGGCCCTTGGGAACACAGCTCCGCTCTATTAGCTTTGGGTAGATCCTGTCTCAGTACAGGGAGAACAGATCCCACACCCTCTGTTCCTTTCTTCTACGCCCTGAGGCAGTCAGCAGAGCCACTCCCTTAGCTTTCTCATCTCAATGGCAGCCCTACAGTCTGGAACCAAGTTGGCAAAGATGAGGTCTCTTTGAAACCTAGAAATTTGTGGTCCCAGAGGCTGTGGTCTGACTCTTAAATTGCAGGAGCTCTGCTTCCCATTCTCCTTGGTCTACTGAAGAGGCCACCCTAGCCTCCGTCCTGTACAAGCAAATGTTACAAGGCTTTTACTGCTTTAAAGATAACGGCCCTGAAGAATCACACACGATTAGTAAGTCTTAGTTTATAGTACTCGTGTCTTTAGTTCCATGGACTGGCAAGCCTTGCTCCACAGACAAAGGCTGAATTCCATCCCGTTTAGGCAGGAAGCTTGTCCGAAGGCACTCAGCATTCTTGCCTCCTGGACCAACTCTCAGGCCTTCTTGTCCTGAATCTCCATCTTCTCACAGGTCTCCGGGGTCTGTTGCTTCTGTTTCCCTACCACTGTCTCTCGCTCACTGCTATCTCCAGTTTGAAAACTGTCCTCCTTGCCTTCTAAGCTTTTAGCAGAATTTCTTTGGACATTTTTAATTCCTTACCAATTTCTTCAAGATACTCTGTGCTGTTCCTATTGCTGTTAAGCGCCATGGAGTTGGCTGTAGCTCTGAGTGACACCAAAAACAAAGAACAGAGCTGGTGACCCTCAGCTTTCCTTACAACTGCTGATCTGCCAAGCCCTTCGTGCAGTCAGTGTGTCAATCAATCTCATGCAAGTTTTTCATCTCTTTCGCTGACTCTCCACTTTTTCACACATGAAGGTTGTTTTGTGATTTTTTTTCAAGGACTGGCCTCTACTGACAAAATGTCAAACATATGTAAGCAAAGCCTCATTGTTCTTGTTAATGCATTGTGAATCCTCCAGCAGGTTTTCAGAGGCTCTCAACTACAGCTCCTGACCACCGTAGGAATAACAGACCTGAACCTTATTCTATCCTGTACCACCACCGGTATGCTCGAGTCTGCTCTACAGTCACTGTGTCAGTCCACTGCTGATTGAATTTCTTCTTCCAAGATGGATTTGTTTGCTGTTTTAGAAGTCAGTGTGTACTTAATATACTTTGTCAATGCAGAAACCTAAAAGGACCAATGCTTCTTTGGTCTTCCTAGTCACTGTCACACATTCACACATATAGGAAGCAACTGAAAAACCATCACTTGGGTCAGGCTCACCTTAGTCTTTAAAGTGACAACTTTGCTCTTTAGTACTTTAAACAGGTCCTTCACAGCAGGACTGCTTAGTATACCACTTAATTTCTTGAGTCGTTGCTGATTCTATGGGTGCTGATGGTAAATACAAATAAAAGGAATCACTGATAATTTCAATCTCAATTTTTTCTCCATTTATCATGATGCTGCACATTGGTCCAGTTGTATTTTTTTGGCTTTATGTTCAAGTCTCATCCAGACCGAAGTCTTTGATCTTCAAGTACTTCAAGTCTTCTCCACTTTCGGCAAGCCAGCCTGTGCCATCTGCATATATCACTGGCTGTTGATGAGGCTTTTACTATTAGGCATGTTAAAACTCTTCCAAACTCTACTCATTACTCAACGCCATAAACCACTTCCACATTTTAGGACAGCAGGGAGCCCTGGTGGCTGAGTTCAGAGGCAGCTGTGCTGCTAACTCAGAGATAGTCCTTCTCTGGTGGTTCAAATCCACCAGTGGCTCTGATGGAGAAAGACGGGCAATCTTTTCCCAAGTGATTGAGAGCCTCTGAAAACCTGCTGGAGGATTCACAATGCATTAACAAGGTACTGAGCTCGAGTTTTATGAGTTAGAGCAGCACCCTACTCTTTGTATCACCTTCTGTCTTAGTCATGTAGTGCTGTTTTAACATACTTTAAGAAACAAATGCATTCTCTAACAATTTAGAAGGCTATTCACTCACTCATTGCTGTCCAGTCAAAAATGACTCACAGCTGACTCTCCAGCAGGCTTCCAGAGGCTGTAACAAGGTGTCACATGCCACCCTTAACCCTCTTACAACTATTTGGTTTATCAGATCATGGCTTTTCCGTTATACCAATTGTTGTGTTAGGCACCGTGGCATCAACTACAGCTCCTGACCACTGCAGGAATAACAGACCTGAACCTTGTTCTATCCTGTACCACCACTGGTATGCTCGAGCCCGCTCTACAGTCACTGTGTCAATCCACTGCTGAAAGTTTTCCTCTCTTTCTGTCTCTCAGATTCTACATTTCCTGCTATGATGTTTCTCCCTTCCCACAAGACATGTCCAAAGTATGTGAGACACAATCTCCTCACCCCTGTCTCTAAGCAACATTCTGGTGGTACTTCGTCAAGTCAGATTTATTTGTTCTTAGGACAGTCCATGCAATACTCTCCAACACCACGATTCAAAGGCGTCAATCCTTCTTCGGCCTTCCTCATTCATTGTCCAACTTTCAATGCCTAAGAAGTACTATTGTTGTTACCTGCTGTTGAGTTGCCTGTAACTCATAGCAACCCTCTGCACAATAGCTCTGAACCCTGCTCTATCCTGAGTTAATCTCACTGTCACTGCAACACCTAGCCCCATTACCCCAGTTACCCTGTTGATCCTTCTCATTCAGGGTCTTCCTCTCCTGTACTGTCTCTCTGCCCTTCTAATTCTGAGCATGATGTCCTTCTCTAATGACTGCTTCCTCTTGGTAACATGCTCAAAGTGTGTGAGATGAAGCATCAAAATTCTTGCCTCTAAGGAGCAACTTGGCTTCACCATCTCCAATAATTCCATCTCTTTGTTCTCTTCACAGTCCCTGATATATTCAATATTCTGCTCAAAACCCACAACTTAAAGGCATCAATTCTTCTTCTGTATTCCTAACTCATTGTCCAACTCTCTGATGCACAGCAAGTAATTAATTGCAAAGACCATGGCCTTGATCAGGTGCACCGTATTCTTCAGACTGACATTTTTGCACTCTGGAGTAATATCTGACGGCAGATTTCCTACTGCAATTTGTCTTTAGGTTTCCTGTCTGTTGGTGACAAGAGTGTTGATTGTGGAGAAAAGCAAGCCAGATTGTTAACAACCTCCATCTCCTCTCCATCTGTCACATAAGAAGCATTACATACACACATTTGGGGGTATGACATAATCCAGTTTACAACACCCATCCAATATTTAAGTAAAGAGAAAAAAAGCAAGGCCATTCTCTTTGGAGCGAGGGTCTGAGATCTTGAAGTGTGGGCTCCAACTTTCCAGCAGTCCTGAACCCCCGGAAGAGGAAACTCTTGAAGAACCAGTATTAAAATCAGTTCGCATGCATGATTGATTAGAAATTAATATAAGATCACAATTTCCAGCTAAAATATTTTCCTGCATTTTCATATTGAAGAGAAGAAAGATTTTAATGACAAAGCAAACTAAATAAAAAGTGAACTTGAGGTAGTCGCTGAGAAGGCGTTTATGTTTTCACTGATCTTCCTTGTTTCTGAGGCTAAATGGAAATTTAAGATGACTCAATGTGAGGGGAGTAAGACCTGCAATTACACTCCTCTGTCCAAATCAACTCCCTTTGTCTCATACTATTTTTAAACTATGCATTTTCTTAAATATTTAACCGGTTTTTAAATGTCAAAGCCCTGATCAGATAGCATGTAACATAACAAAGCTAGCAACTTGTGTATAGTTAAAAACATATAGTTCTCAGTTGGTGAGGCGAATTAATTTCCATTTTAAACAAGCAAACAAAAACAAACTCACCAAGGGACTGAAAGAGTTCGGTCATTTTGGGGTGATCCCAACAGGTTGTTTGTGTTTGATGACTAGAGGAGAAAAGGGGAGATTTCAAAAATAAGCAACTACAAAAACACCGACATAGAACTTTCTTATTATTTAAAAATACATGTTATATACCCATCATGCACCATTCAGAAACTTGATAATTACAGCTTAATAACTAGAATACAGAAACATTTTATTTGACCAGTTGATGGAGTAATTTGATTTAAACACTTTTAAAATGAACATCAAGTAAATACTAAAACTCAGATATAAAAGGGGACTGTCAGGGCTTCATAATATCACGGTGAAGGGCTTAGCTGCTTGGCAAAAGGTGAGCAGGTTGACCAGCTGCTCTGTAGGACCAAGATTAGGAGGTCGGCGTCCCTGAAGAGTCACCAACTCAATTAATTCACTGCTGTTGACCTGGAACCAACTCGCTGCTGACCCTCCATCCAGCAGGCTTTCAGAAGCTGTAAATCAATACATGGGAGGAGACTGTCCACTTTTCTCCCTCACACAAGCCGGTGAATTTGAACAGGGAGGTGCCACTGTTGGGTTAGCAGCCCGACTCCCTGTAGACACAGCCAGTACAGCTCCCTGAAGACTACAGCCTCAGAAATCCAGTCCAGGCCCTTCTAGTCTGTATGACAAGGTGGTTCTGAGGGGGAATTCACTGTCTGACAATGGCTTTAGGCTACTGCCCAGGTGTCAGGGACCTAGGCTTGATGTTGTCAGGTTAGGGTTTGTTGTTATTATTAGGTACCAACTAGTCAGGAAAAATTAACTAGGGTTTGGGGGGCCTGTGAGTTGGAGAGGGTGAGACTGGCTCAAGATAGGGCAAGGTTAGAGAGCTATTCACAGGTGACTTAACAGGACACACATGAACATTAACAATAGTCCAGTAATACTCACAGCAATATTATTATTATTTTTTAAATTATTACTAAATTTTATTAGTTTCAATGAAACAGCAATATTATTAACAGCATATTTGAACCCTGTCCTAACTTGCCCCATCCTTATCACCCCTCACACATGTGCTGCAGTCACTGGGTCAGCCCATCTCATCCGAGGTCCTCCTCTTCTGTGCTGCCCCTCAACCCTTCAAGCATGATGTCCTTCTCCAAGGACGAGTCTCTGCTGGCAACGTGCCCAAAGTCTGTCAGACAGAGTTTCAAAATCCTTGCTTCCAAGGAGCATCCTGGCTTCTGTGAGGCAGATGTAAACTCTCATTGAGAACAAATCCTCTGAGAGTAGAAGTCCTAGGAAGAATGGCTAAATTTTGGCATTTCTCATTGGTTTCCTGAAGAACAGAGACGGGAAGAGTTTAACTCTAGATGTCATCTCTGTCTCACAACTGACTGAGCTCCCTCCTCTCCAGCCAGGGCCTTATCTCCATCTCATTGCATCCATTTGCCCCCTTCTCCTCCATGTGTGTCTGTATCACTTCCCATCTAAGGATGCCTCTCTCTTACCATCTCCTCAGTTTCCCTTTGTTAATCAGCATTATTGTTTAAAAGTCCTGAAGTGTTTTTCCCCCATGATCCATTTCTTCATGTAAAAAAGCAAATTATACCCTTTGTGAATTTTCTCCCTATTCCAATGTGTAAGGAATGAGACAAGGGTGTAAGACAGAAAAGTGTAAGGCTTAAATTAAGTTCTGCGTTGTGTGGGTGTGAGATGAACACTCAGTTCTGGTGGGTGAATGGTCTTATGTTTACAAATAGTTTACCGTCTCTTATGTAGGTCAGAACAGAGCAATAACATTTAATAGTACTCAGAAGACTTCCTGGGTGTCACTAAGTTCTTACGAAACTGTTTAGTAAGCTAAGTGAATTGGCACAGTACCCAAGAGAGGAGGATATTAAGATATTCATAAAAATCAAATCAAGAGGAATTACCTTTCTTTAAAAAACCCCCAAACCTATGTAATATATCAAAAGATGGAGCATGTCACTAGGAATTGAGCACAGTCACTTTTATATATATAAAAGTAACAACCCCTACATAACATAATTTGCTTGGGAACATATTTCAGTTTCATATAGGAAATGAGGTATTAAGGGAGCTCTGGTGGTCTAGTGGCAAGAAGCTGTACTGCAATCCCAGAGGTACGTGGTTCAAATCCACCAGATGCTCTGCTGGAGAGGGAGGAGCAATCTCCTCCTCTACCAGTCAGATCTGATTTGATCGTACACACACACACACAAATGATATTTTAAAAAAAAAAAAAAAAGAAATGAGGTATTAAAATGCTCTGGAAATTTCCAAATGTCAAACCAAATGACAGAGAGGTTCTGACTCCAAGAGCTGGCTCCCCTTCCTGGCTTCCCGCTATATTCCCAGCGACAAGCATTTGCACTAGACAGTCTCATCTCGTCCAGCCATTCTGCACTTTGCTTCCAAGATCACAGAGAAAAGACGTATGTTATTTCACCTGAAATGCTTGCTATTTATAGTCCAGGGCTTATTGGGAGTGCAAGATCTTAGACTCTTCTCCAGTGTGTAAAGTCAGAACTCTTATCTTAACCAATATCCAGGTTATTCATATACACATCACTGTCAGGGCGGCATGTGAGGGGGCTTGAAGAAGGAAGAGGGAAGTAGTGGATAGATAATAAACACTGCATTGGAACATATGAGGGGAAGAATTGTTTGAAAAAAAACATATGTATATATATATATATACACACACACACCCCATCTGGAACAAGGAGGGCATTGGGGATGCGCATGGCAAGGGGGCTAGGGGAGGGGAAGGGATGGGGGGAGAAAATGTGCAACAACAAATAAATTTTTTTTAAAAAATGATACCAGAGTACTGGAAGAAACCATGATGAAGACAAATGAAGAGATTTCAAAAGGAAAAAAAAAGCGAACTAAGCGGGTGTAGGGAGGAAAATGCAAAAATGAATGAAAGAAAAAAAATACATACATACATACATGTTGTTGCTATGTATACATACATATACATACACACATATACATGTGTGTATACGTGTGTGTATACATACATACATATGCTTGTGTGTATATATATACATATATAGTATCTAAATATCTATCTATATCTATATCATCTATAGCTACAGCTATAGCTATATATCTATATCTATCTATATCCATATCATGGGAAAGTCTGCTGTTAGGGACCTCTCCAAAGTGCTGAAGAGCAATGGTGTCTCTCTGGAGACTAAGGTGCGTCTGATACAGGCCATGGTCTTCGCAATCACTTGTCACACATCAGAGAGTTGGACAATGACCAAGGAGGATAGAAGGTGAAATGATGCTTTTGAGCTGTGGTGCTGGAGAAGAGTATTGAGAATACCATGGACGGCTAGGAAAACAAACAGATTTGTCCTGGAAAGGGTTAAACCGGGTGGCTCCTTGGAGGCAAGGATTCTGAGGCTCCGTCTAACATACTTTGGACATGTTGTGAGGAGAGACAGGTCCTTGGAGAAGGACATCATGCTTGGGAGGGTGGAGGGACAGCGCAGGAGGGGAAGGCCCTCTATGAGGTGGATTGATTCAGTGACTGGGATAATTGGATGGGAGTGTCAGAGACAGTGCGACTGGCACAGGACAGAGCGGAGTTTAGGGCTGTTGTACATAGGGTCGCTATGAGTCGCAAGCGACTCGACAGCACATAACAACAAACAACAACATATGTATATGTATAGGTATAGGTATAGCTATAGCTATACATATGTTAATACATGAACAGGACCCTGGGTAGTTTGTTGAGCTCTAGAGGTTCAAATCCACCAGCTGTTTCATAGGACAAAAACTGGCAATTCCCACCCATGCTATTTACAGCCTCTGAAAGCCTGTTGGAGAGTTAGCTATGAGTTGGTTCTAACTCCACAGTATACAAAACAACAACAATCCACGAGCTAGCAGTTCAAAACCACCCAGCAGCACCTTAGAAGAAAAACCTGGCAACTGTCATCTATGAAGAAAACCGTATGCAGCAGTTCCACTCTTATAACACTTGGGCTGTCTTGAGTAAGAATGTGCTCACAGCACCTGTGTCTCAACAAGAGCCTAGGAATTTCTAGGTATTGTTGGTGGCCTAGTAGGGACAGCTTTACACTGCCAACCTAAAGGCAGCTGGTTCAAATCCACCCGGTGCTCTAAGGAAGAAAGATAAGCCATCTCCTCTCATGCAGTTTATGTTGTTGTTGTTGTTATGTGCCATCGAGTCATTTGCAACTCATAGCGACCCTATGCACAACAGCCCTAAACCCTACTCTATCCTGCGCCAACCGCACTGCTTCTGACACACCCATCCCAATTACCCCAGTCACCGAATCAATCCATCTCATAGAGGGTCTTCCCCTCCTGCGCTGTCCCTCCACCCTCCCAAGCATGATGTCCCTCTCCAAGGACCCGTCCCTCCTGGCAACATGTCCAAAGTATGTCAGACGAAGCCCCAGAATCCTTGCCTCCAAGGAGTAGCTTGGTTTAATCCTCTCCAAGATGAATCTGTTTGTTTTCCTAGCAGTCCATGGTACATTCAGTACTCTTCTGAAAACCTGGCTCTGGAGAGCCAGCTATGAAATGGTTGTGGCTCAAAGGTAAGGAGTGACTGAGCAAGCAGACAGGAAGTACAGTACTCAGCTACAAACAAAAAGATTAGTCGTTCAAATACATCCAGAAGGGACCTCAGAAGAACAGGCCTTCCCACTGCTTCTGAAAGGCCACGTTCCTGAAGGTCCCATATGCTGCAGGTCTGCTGATGCCGGCAGGTGCCATGGGAAGGGCTTTTAAAAACATTTTTAATATAAGAAAAAAAGAAAAAAGTCACTTCCTGCCTTTGCTAGTAAAATAATATTATCATATTAATGATAATTAATAATAATCCCATATTATCAATAAATGTTAAAAATTTGCTGCATGTACATCTGAAATAAAGCTAATCTTATAAGATTCCACTGATTGCATCCCCTCTTCAGAGTAATAATTTGAGTCCCCATGGCAACAATGTTGTCCAGGGACAGACATCCCTACTTAATGACCAAACCAAAGTTCAGGAACCACC